CCGTGCCCAGGGTGGCCTCACCCACATGGGAACAAGCCCTGCTTGCAGCCAGAGGCATCTTGATTAAGCAGGGAGAGAAGTGGGGACTGGCTGCCGGGCAGATGCCCTAAACTAGAGAAACTTATCAGCTCTGCTTCCAAGACAAGACACGTGTCACCACCTCGCACAGATCCAGCCCAGCCGCTCACTCCTCACCAGCACGCCTGTACAGAAGCACGAGGGCTTCCCTCTCCCTGAAGGATGCTGTAGAAATAGCCACCGAATAACTTGCGAAATTTCTTCTAGAAAAGGCTTTGCTTGGACTAAGAAAAGCGCTGCACCCAGAATGCTTCGGGGCAAGGCGCTGGATGCGAACGGGAGCCAGCGTGCAGCTGCGCTTCCAGCCCCGTGTGTTTGTCAGCGGGCTGGCCCCAGCGGCAGCGCAGGGAGGTCCCCAGCCCAGATGAACACCAAGTGCCGCGGACAGCAAAGAACCGTTCCGCCAGCACACATGCAGCAAAGCCCGACACGGCTAATCCCTCCTGTTTATTATGTAATAAAACGCTTTCCAGACCTGTTAAAATTTAATTGGTTTAATCTTAACTGTTCCATTTTCTACGGCACATGCAAACACAGAGCCTGACCCTGCCACTCTCATGTGAACCATCCCGCGGGCTGCAGTGGGAGCAGGATGAAACCCGCTGACCTCAGCAGGATTACGTGCATGAATCAGAGCTGCAGGCCTGGGCTCGGTGCTGAAATCCAGTGCCGGGCTGGCCGCCAGCGCAAGGCCCAGGGTCCACTTAGGCTCCACTTAAGCCCTATGGGATGCAAGTGGTACGCAGGCCTGTGGATGCGAGCGGTGAGTGAGCATCGTGCTGGGCCTCTGCTGAAGGATGAATTTCAGCCCGGCTTCTTAACCTCATGGACGCAAACATGCAGCGACGGATTCCGAGGCACAGAGCAAAGGTGCTCCCAGAAAGGCTCTGGGTTTTGCTCTAGCAAGGGGGTGGTGTATGCGTGTCTGTGTCCTCCAGCAGAAGCCTCGACACGGGACCTTCTCATCGCACGAGCAGTAAACTGTGATTTATGACAGCTTCTCCTCCAGAGGAAGAGGTGTTTTGCTACCCTCTGCACGTCCACAGTTGCGGGGCTGTGGCTTTGTAAAGCCTGGATATCCTTTGTGCACCAGAGACGCCAAATAACAGCAGGTGGGAGAGGGTCCTTGGCACTAACATTTCCTATCCTGCATTGCCTCAGATGTGGGATGACCTTTACCTGCTCCTGCAAGTTGGCTCTCACGGAGTTCAACGCATCAGCGTTGGTTTCAGAGGTCCATCGGGCAGTGAAATCAAGGACAGCCTTCCCTTCAGTGTCCAAACCTACCAAGCTCCCCTTGCTGCATGCACTGCTCCTACCCCCCAAAGTGCTGAGCACTGAATGTTGCACACAGTTACTGGTGCCCCCCAAATCAAGCTCCCACTGTGGAAATGTATGCGTTTCTCAGGACGCTAAAGAGTCTGGGTCTCTGACCCCCAGAAAACACATTTCTCATCGAAGCTTTGTTTTAGGACACATTTCCAAATCGTACATCCCTGTACTGTGAAGACGAACTGTGAAGCAAAAGTAAATCAGCCAATGCCAGTGGAGCAAGAAAATGCTGAAGAAAAGCAAATATTTGCAGTGACATATTTCTCAAGAAAATGGGCATTATGTGGGTGGTTCTTGGCAAAGCCAAGCCAGGGGGTTCCCAGCACCCTGAGAGGTGGAGGCAGTTGTCAACTGGAAGACCCACGTGGGCAGGACGGTGCCGGCGCTGCCCGGGCAGGGCTGGGACAGGGCAGTGGGAGACGAAGACAGCACGTTGCTGGGCGAGCGGACAGCATCCCTTGCCTGGACCTGGCTCCATCGCCTGCAGAAGCCCTCTGTTCTCCTGGGGAATAAAGATAACATTTCGTTTCAAAAAGTTGTGAAACAGAGTCACTCCTGGGAAGCGGCAGGGCTGGGATAAAAGCCGCCCTTCACCCGGGGAGCTGCGGCGAGCCAGGGTCCGTGCCCAGGCGGGCGCACGGAAGGAGCT